CTGTTACCCCTGTTACCCCATTAAATCTGTCTCAAAACAGCAAGGGTTTTGGGAGGAGGTTATTGCTCAGTCATATAATTTCCCAGGTTCTTCTCATCCTAGTGCTGGCTAGCAGAGGCAGAGAAGCAGGGAGGGAATGAGCAACTGGGAGATGGAGTAGCAGCTGGCACTGCTGGCAAAATGTGTTTGTACACTCTGATTTCAGTAGTTTGGTGGTTTGGTTTTGGGGTTATTTTTTTTTTTTCATTTGGTTGGTTGGTTGGTTTTTTTTCTTTCATTTCAAAGTATCCTTATTTCCAACTGGAAATTTTTAAAGCATCTTTAAACATTCCATGTTAAATCTGACAGAGGACATTGCAGAGATTCACCAGTGCTGCTATAGTTACCTAACCACTCAAAGGAATCCAAACAATTTTTTTCTCATATTGGCCTCCCCCTGAGTTTTCCCTACCTGATGTAAGTCTGCTGAACTAATAATTCCTCACTTCATTCTGTTAATGTGATAATAGCATCAGAGAAGAACATCATAAAAACCAGCCTCCACAAGACCACATTTTTCCCCCTCGGTTTTGTACCATATAAATGAGGTGAATCACTTTTAACATGAAAACCTGTCATCTCTTCTCTCACATCCACAGGAGTCCTGGATCTCCTCTTCTGTCATTCCTCACAATATCCAAGTGAGGAAGGCATTTCCAGCTAAGCCAAATTTAAGTGTGAAATGAATTTTAATGGCTACCCTAAATATTTCCAAAGAGAAACATAGCAGAAGCACTGGACATTTTTACTGACCATCAGCGCAATTTTTTCCAGCTACACAACCCGAGAAAGAGAGTTAATAGATGTGCATACACAGGAGTGAGAAGATATTATCTATTATCTAGTAGTTAAAATTAGAAAGGGGAAAAATCAAAAGAAAAGACAGCATTGTCTCAGAAAGTCGCTGTGGTTTATGCATCACTTCTGCAGCATATTGATTCTGTCCTTAGTCTCTATTCCTGTGCATTATCAGCACATTATCAGCGCTGATTTTAATCTGCCATTTTATTGCTTTGTCACTCAGTGTTTTGAAGCCCTTTAATAGTTCTTTGCAGCTGGACCTCCTCTCTGGTATCCTGAATAACAGTATGTCAGCAAACTTAATTATGAATATGAATAACTAAGTTAATATGAATAACTTAGTGCATCAGAAAACTTACTTCACAGCTCACCCTGTTTCCCAAATTGCTGATGGCTACATTAAATGGCACAGGCCCCAGGCAAGCCCTCTCATGACTGAA